TATATATATATATATAAACTTACTAGAACTCGAGCATGGAAATCAAGGTAAAAATAGCTATAGGAAGAAATTCTCTGAGAATCGAATAACTCGGTCGAAGAAAGAATATCTATCCTGCAAATGTTCCAGAAAGGCCAAAGCGATGATGGTCGAACGATCGATCACGAGCCTGTTGAGAATCAACGCACGTCCGGTCAAGATTTGAGACAAATTGTCGACGGCACGACACCGTCACGCATTTTCAATTCGTTCTTAAAGAAGTTAGGAGGCCAGTGAGACAGTTACTATTGGGCGCATTGGGTCATCAGTCTCGAAAAATCCGTGCTGTCTCTCACGCATAGAATGCGTTAACGGTCACCGTGTGTTTCGGCAATACACGCACGTATCTCCTCTCCTATCATCCTCTATAATCTTTTATACCACTTATCCTCTCTCCTCTCGCCTGTATTCAAAACCATCATTTCTCTCTACTCGCGTAAAACCATCTTTAATTAAATCCCCCCTCCTCTCCCCTCGCCGCACGCGTTTCGAAATAACCTCTCATTCAGAAAACCTCTTTCCATATTTCAATTTCTGTCCATCCTTCCATCCGTTGAAAAAACAACTAAAGAAAAAGAAAAAAAGGAAAGAGACGAAATCTTCTCGTCGTTCACAACAATCCCAGGAATTTTCTATTCGCAACACCTCCGCGACACTCGCCCCTCTCCTCTCCTCCTCTCCTCGATCCAGCCGTCCTTCGACTCGTTTCACAAGCTAGTTTCACGTACACCGAGTTCCCCGCGCACACACACACACACACACACACGAACACCAACTATGTCCCTCGTTGTTCACAGTGTAAAGCCAAAAAAAAAAACGAACGATTTTCTCCTCCTCCTCCTCCTCCTCTTTTTTCGTGCCACTTTTTCCGCAAAACTTCGAGCAGGCTCGAAAGAGAGCTCGTCGAGGGAGGGGGTTGAAAGGGTTAACCGTATGTCGAGGAAAGGGCGATTATTCGAACGTTGACCGACGGCTCCCTTTCGAAAGAGTCGCACGATCCGGACGCGAGGATGTTCGATGCAACACTGCAAGTTATACGCCTCTTCTCCGCAACAATTGCTGTGTATGCACAGTGGCGTACACGCGACTTTTTAATTGGGCCACCGTTGTGCAACCGGCCGACTGTTTCCTCGGCTCCCTGTCGTCCCTTTCGACCGACGAGGAGGAAATCGGGATCGAGATCGGGTTCGGGATCGGGGTGTCGCCAAGAGGGTCAAACACGAGTGTCTGGCCAACCCGTTGGAGCGACTCGCGACGGAGAGAGAACCGGTGGTGGCGCCAGTGGATCGAAGTGCTTTGGGGTGGAACCAAGCGTGCCTCTCTTCTTATATAAATTACGCGCTAAATACGCGTACGTACACGTATACGTGGAGGTTAGCCTGGATATAGGCTGCGCCCACGGAGAACGGGAAGCGATTCTCTAACTAGACACCGTGGCGAGTTGCAGAAGCGACTGTCGATTGTAAAAACCGATTGTGCGCACGTGGAAATACGTTTCGTAGCTTCCAAGTTTTTTTTATTCATGGAGGAGAGCGATCGAGATCGGTTCCGATTTTCCCGTTGCATTGCTTCTTCGAAGACTTTCGAAGGTTGAGAATTGATCTGGTGTAGGTGAACATCGCATAAATTTTGGGGGAAATTGGTTGAAAAATTTTCGTGGTTGTTGTGGATGTGCACGTGGAGGAAATTTTGGAATGGTTTCGTGGACGTTTTCTTATAATATTTTCATAGTTATTCTTCGTTTAAATCATGTAAATTTTAATCTATTCGGATCTTCTCTATCGATGATACTGTATAAAGTAAAGGTAAAATAAGGAATTTCGCACGGGATGTCTGAGAAGTATTCGGATATAAATTCATTCTCGAGCGGATTCACTATTTGGTGTTCTCACTTTTACTCGATTCTTGTGTATTACACGGGTATTCCGTATCACGAGTAATGACGAGTCAAGGAATAATTGAGGAAGACATCGTCGTCGACTAGCGTAACCGATATTATAGGAAATTGAAGCGATGTAATCATTGGATCAGCCTCGATAATTAATGCACCGCGTTTCCTTCTCTGATTATTGAACATGGTATCGCTTCCCTCCCCCTCCTCGATTAAATACTTTCCAACGAATTCCAAATAATTTCGTCATTCTTCGATGTTCCAACGTGCAATTTATCTATTTAATCAAATTAAATTCCTTCGCATTACGATACCGTAATACCTGCCAAGCCTCAACGCTTAAGAAACATTAAGAATCATCTCTTCGTTGATATTTATTTATCACTTCAGGCCCGAGAAATAATAAATTTTATCGACAAAAGAAACTTAATATACATTCCTTCGCGTATTGCATAACTTTAATTCACAAATTTTATGAAAAAAATTTGTTCCACGAGCCGACATATGTATTTACAATACATACAAATTGTAAAAACAAATCTCTTTCCGTTTCGAT